GTACTGTCACTGGATCAATGTCGTTGGCCTTCCTAGCTGTCTGGGCTGACTCCATCTGCGACCCTGTTTTGCCATTCGGGGTCGTGTGGTTAGTCCGCCGAGTCGACGCCCTGCTGACTTGTTCGAATTCATCTCCACTGCTTTTAAACGCAGATTCTCTAGGATTTGTTGCCAAGGCTTCGTGATCCTGACTTCCCCCTCTTGCTCTAGCCGAGTCTTCATCCAGCTCGTCCTCAAAGTGAACTCGGCGTACTCGGCTACGAGTGACTGCCGTGACAATCGGGGTTTCCGCTGGGTTGCCTGTGGCGTACAGTTCTTCGGCTACTCGGTTAATCGTTCTCTGTTCTGCTTTCCTATCCGTCCCGAGAATTACTCGTCCAGCTTTAGCTTCTAATGCTTCTGTAGCGAGCGAATCAGCCGCTGCGGTATAGTGTCGCGCTATGTGTCGATACCGGACCGAGTTGAGTTGCTTCGTGAGATCCTTGTGTCGAGCTAGCTCCACTTGCAATGTTTCCTTCTTGCATGCTATTACCCCCATGGATTGCTGGATTGCAAGCCGGGAGTCACCCACGATAATCAGATCGGTTATCCCTCGGTCAATCGCCGCCAAGACGCCATTGTTCATGCCGGTGTATTTGGCGATGTTGACTGTGGTGGACGACAGGTACGCACTCGCAGCGATCTCTATGTCCCAATTCGGAAGGCGCCACAGTATCCACGAACAACTGCCATACCCGCCGTATTTAGCTGTCTCCGCTGAGCCATCAAATGACAGCACGCATCCCGCAAAGTCAGCTGGTATGCGGGCGTATAGCAGTTCTGGGTCCATTCGAACTGTCGCCAAGTCTAGCCCGGCAGAGCTTGTAGTCCGCCTGGATTTGTCACGAGTTTCGTTTATCTCCTCGATGCAACCCTTTTGCGATCAGCCTACTGTATCCAAACGTTTACTGGCTACTCACAGGAGGATTAATTAAAAGGTCATGACTGCAGAATTGATTCACCGATACAACAATTTAGTTTTGGTTCGTGTCGCACCATCTCCGCTTCCCACGAGTTCATCACAAGAACCAGGAGAATTTGTCCACCCTACTGCTGCAAAAGTAAAAAAGACGAGGCCATAAACTACGCTAGAATAAGCTGGGTCAACATGCCCGTCGGTGAATAGATTGTTGAAGCTACTGCACGCACGTGTTTATGTCTGTGCTATAAGAAAGTTGGGATATGCCTACACGTTGTTAAGGCAACCGGATTTGCTGGAGTTGCATGTCCTGGTATGCCAGCTCCTTCACAAAGATTTGTGCGGTCGGCACAACAATCGCGCACTGCAGCTCGGCGGATTGCGAATGGCGACGTAGATACAGACAATAACGAAGGTGGCCCACTTTTCCGGAATCTGTATGATTTGCACCATGCTATCGATGAAGAGCACTATCTTTGTAAACGAGATTTTGTTGTGAGGTCATGGCGTGGAGCGGGTATGATATCTCCTCGGTTTCGACGTGTGGCAAATCACATTATTTCGCAGTGGATAATTAAAGCCCGCTTTTCGCACTGGCAAGCTTTTCATACCCCCACAGGCTACGCGGCTACTAACAACCCGCTTGAGCAGTACCACTACACCTTAAAGCTTGTGAATGACAGCAAACGGGCTAGCCAGGCAGAGCTTGTAGTCCGCCTGGATTTGTCACGAATTTCGTTTATCTCCTCGATGCAACCCTTTTGCGATCAGCCTACTGTATCCAAACGTTTACTGGCTTCTCACAGGAGGATTAATTAAAAGATCATGACTGCAGAATTGATTCACCGATACAACAATTTAGTTTTGGTTCGTGTCGCACCATCTCCGCTTCCCACGAGTTCATCACAAGAACCAGGAGAATTTGTATACCCTACTGCTACAAAAGTAATAAAGACGAGGCCATAAACTACGCTAGAATAAGCTGGGTCAACTTGCCCGTCGGTGGATAGATTGTTGATGCTACTGCACGCACGTGTTTATGTCTGTGCTATAAGAAAGTTGGGATATGCCTACACGTTGTTAAGGCAACCGGATTTGCAGGGGTTGCATGTCCTGGTATGCCAGCTCCTTCGCAAAGATTTGTGCGGCCGGCACAACAACCGCGCACCGCAGCTCGGCGGATTGCGAATGGCGACGTAGATACAGACAAGAACGAATGTGGCCCAATTTTCCGGAACCTGTATGATTTGCACCATGCTATCAATGAAAAACGCTATCTTCGTAAGCGAGAGTTTGTTGTGAGGTCATGGCGTGGAGCGGATATGATATCTCCTCGGTTTCGACGTGTGGCAAATCACATTATTTCGCAGTGGATAATTAAAGCCCGCTTTTCGCACTGGCAAGCTTTTCATACCCCCACAGGCTACGCGGCTACTAACAACCCGCTTGAGCAGTACCACTACACCTTAAAGCTTGTGAATGACAGCAAACGGGCCAGCCCGGCAGGGCCTGTAGTACGCCTGGATTTGTCACGAGTTTCGTTTATCCTCTCGATGGCAACCCTTTTGCGATCAGCCTACTGTATCCAAACGCTTACTGGCTGCTCACAGGAGGATTAAGTAAAAGGTCATGACTGCAGAATTGATTCACCGATACAACAATTTAGTTTTGGTTCGTGTCTCACCATCTCCGCTTCCCACGAGCTCATCACAAGAACCAGGAGAATTTGTTCACTCTACTGCTGCAAAAGTAAAAAAGACGAGGCCATAAACTACGCTAGAATAAGCTGGGTCAACTTGCCCGTCGGTGGATAGATTGTTGATGCTACTGCACGCACGTGTTTATTTCTGTGCTATAAGAAAGTTGGGATATGCCTACACGTTGTTAAGGCAGCCGGATTTGCAGGGGTTGCATGTCCTGGTATGCCAGCTCCTTCGCAAAGATTTGTGCGGCCGGCACAACAATCGCGCACCGCAGCTCGGCGGATTGCGAATGGCGACGTAGATACAGGCAAGAACGAATGTGGCCCAATTTTCCGGAACCTGTATGATTTGCACCATGCTATCAATGAAAAACGCTATCTTCGTAAGCGAGAGTTTGTTGTGAGGTCATGGCGTGGAGCGGATATGATATCTCCTCGGTTTCGACGTGTGGCAAATCACATTATTTCGCAGTGGATAATTAAATCCCGCTTTTCGCACTGGCAAGCTTTTCATACCCCCACAGGCTACGCGGCTACTAACAACCCGCTTGAGCAGTACCACTTCACCTTAAAGCTTGTGAATGACAGCTAACGGGCTAGCCCGGCAGAGCTTGTAGTCCGCCTGGATTTGTCACGAATTTCGTTCATCTCCTCGATGCAACCC